CCCCCTCCACCGACGCCCCAGGCCCCGAGCTGGTCCTAATGGCAATAATGAGGCTTTCTTTCCTCCTGGCACCAAGTCCCTCAGGTGCGCCTAGCATTTGTTCCTCCCTGGGGGCTCCCATGCCTTCTCTATCTCCAGGTGGGGTTTTTCTTTCTGAGGATCTAGGGAAAACTTCCCCAGTTCAAGCAGAAAAAGTAGAAGAAAAAGATGTATGGCAGTTTGTCTGTGAGTCATTAAAAAAATCAGTTGCATTCACTACATCAAAAATTTGTTAACTACCAGGGTGTTATCGCCATACCTGAACCTGTATATATACGTATCATTGTTGTTCCACAAATAGTTAGATTGTCAAGACAGTCTCATGACTAATTAAGCAGCATTTTTAGCTTGATCTTCTTCTTTACACATTTTGCTTAGCTAAAGAAGTGTTTGGCTGTTTAAAAATACCAAATTCCTTTTCAAAGAATAAAGATATTCTCTGAAAACAGTGGTTCTGAAAACAATCACAAAGGTGTGTCTGGGGCGATGGCTGTATTACCCGATTTAGAATCTGGCTTTTCCCGTGGTGGCCGCTTTGGCCATACGCTACGTGTTCAGAAGGGTGAATTCTGATTTAACAGTTTAGCTTCAGTCTCATTATTTTTATACCATACCTATTAAGGATATGTATTAATATTAAGTATATGTACTTCATGTGCATAAGGAGAAGATGTTTAAGTGTTTTAAATCTGCCACTATTACATAGAAATTTAGATCTACTTTCTGTAGGCTGTTCTTAAAGTATATATCTTTTATCTAATTAGATGTCATCTTTTAAGTGTAACTTAGCTCTAATTATCTAGCCAAACACTGCTCTTGTCATCCCGGCTGGACTGGAAAACATGATTCTTTTTTTTTTTTTTTTCCCATGGGAAACAACGAGCACACACAGATGAATCTGTACAAATACTTCACCACTTCTAAATACAGCCCAGGCCTCATGTCTGTCTGGTGATGGATCATTAGGACCGATTTCTTGTTTAAGAAGTCAAATGCGTTACCTCCTGTCAGGTAGATAGTGTCTGTGGGAGAAGGGGCAAAATGTAGACGCTTGGCTCTTACCTCTTTATGGTTCTTTTTGAGGTAAGTCATCTCCTCGCTCAGGGTTTCATACTGAATCTCCAGGTCTGTCCTGCACAGGGTAATTTCATCCAGAACTCTGCGCAGTCCATTGACATCAGTCTCCACGCTCTGGTGAAGAGCCAGCTCATTTTCATACCTTAAAGGGAGTTCATGATTTTCCAATTTGTCACATGGTTAGAAAAACAGTCACCAATCAATGATGAAACACTAGAGGTCTGGAATTTTGAAGTGGCTGATTTGGCCACAAGAGACATTTCAAAGTTTATTGCATGATAATTATTATTTTCTTTCCTTTGAGGTATTTCGTTGACAGAAAAAGAACTAGGGTATTAAACACTACTTTTATAGAAGTTCATACTTCATATTTCATGGCAAAGGCATAAAAAAGTAATAGCATTCTGTTTATTCTAAATCCCAGTGTTTTACCGTGCTGCAATAAGAGTTGGTTAATATTTAATGGAGGGATCAAAAAATAAATTCGGTTTCATGCTTCACATTAATCTCTGTGGATTCTTTCACCCTGCGAGCGTCTACTTACTTGAGTCTGAAATCATCAGCGGTCAGCCTGGCGTTATCGATCTGCAGAACAGCATTAGCATTGCTGGTGGTGGAAGCGATGATCTAGAAATGCGGAGTTCGATTTTTTAAAGGCAATTTATCACAATCAATGAAAAAAAAGTGGTTTTTTTTAGATGAGGAAATGGAAGTCATCAAAATTAATGTAGTTACTAGATGGTCGCATTTTAAATCATGAGGCTAACCAACTGAATCTACTTAATGATTATTTCCAATGCTAAATTGAAATTCCTTTAAGAAATCATGGGTAGAGATGATAAGTGTTTTTAGTATTCAGTGAGGAAAGGAAAAGAGTATTTGGAAATGTAAGTTCATGGAAATGATTCTGAGCTGTAATTTCTTACCTGACTTTTGAGATCATCAATTATAGGGAGGTATCTACTGTAGTCGTGATCAAGACCACGGCAAGAACCAGGCCCAAATTTCTCATACCAGCCCTTGATCTTCTGCTCCAGGTCTGCATTTGCTTCCTCCAGAGCACGCACGTTGTCCAGATAGGAGGCCAGGCGGTCGTTGAGGTTCTGCATGGTCACCTTTTCGTTTCCCGAGAGGAGGCCCCCCTCATTCACGGTGAAACCAGCACAGGAGTTGCTCCCGCCCGCATTTCCTCCCAGTGTGCTGCCCCCGAAGCCACACGAGAAGCCACTTCCAATCCCAGGCATGCTGCAAGCGTTTCCAGCCCCGAAGCTGGCTCCCCCACCCGAGAGCCTGAGGGATCCAGTGGTGGGACGGGAGCAGGCCCTCCTGGAGCCGCTGGAAAGCCGAAGAGACATGGTACCCGGGCAAGCGCCTTGAAGAGCTGTAAGTCAGAATGGAGCGCCTTCTCGTCTCATCTGTTTTGTTTGCCTTTTTATAGACAATTCTCAAGTGTGTTCTGGATGATATTCTGCCTACACGGAGCAAAACGTGGCTTGCCAGCCTCAGCAGGTTAGCATAATTGGATGATTTTTCCTAATTAGTAACTAACTTCTCTGGGCTCCTTTCTGTAGGAGGGCAGTTGCCCTCAGGTGGGTGGTTATCTGAGAAATGGGTCTGGGTGGAGCAATTTCAGGGTCCCTATTACATTTTAAAATTGTGAGTGAGTCATTCTTCACTTCCCTCCTTAGAAGATAAAACTCATCACCCCATCACACCATGAAACGCTGGCGTCATGGTTTTGGGCTATTTATGCCGAGGCAGATTTTGATGTTTCTGAGACTTTTTCTCATTTTATTGCCACAATTCTTTCCACTTAAGTAGAAATCAGAACTGGAATCACGGTTTCCCCAACCTGGTCCTTGAATGGCCAGTTCTGCCCCTGCACCCTCTTGCGCTGCTCCCGGGAAGTAACTTCCGTTTGGGCTGACGCGCATCATATTTTGTTGACACTTATGTCTAGGGAGAGCTGCCTATCCGTGTTGGTAATTAGCAACACACCCTAATTGCTATGATGGGTTGTGGGAGTTTGGAAGGAATGTATTTCCTGACCCAGCAAAAGCTGAAGCAAACCCGGAAGGAAATATTTCATCTGTTTTTACTTTGCTCTGGTTTAGCTTAGGTGAAAGTCAGTAAATTAATGACAAAGTTTCCATGAACATTTATGTGATACTGTTGTGGTCATATGGATTCATTCATTCGTTTATTTAACAGGTACTGATAAAACACCTAGTGTGTGCCAGTCACTGTTCTAGGCATTTGAGGTAAGTAACACCATGCATTATTTTTCTTTAGTGTGTCTTCAAAGTTGAATCATGTGTCAGAATTTCCTTTCTTTAAAGGCTGAATAATGTTCAGCCTTTATTTCCCTTAGCATAATGTCTTCAAAGTTGTACCATGTGTCAGAATTTCCTTTCTTTAGAGGCTGAATAATGTTCCATTGCATGTACGTATGTACTGTATTTTGTTTATCCATTCAGCAGTAGGTGGACACTTGGGTTGCATCCACCTTTTGGCTATTGTGAGTAATGCTGGTGTGAACATGGCAACCACCATTTTGCTCTCTGCATGAAAACATTCTCAATGTAAATGAATCAAGCAGTATCTCAGAGAAGAGAGTAAAATGTTGAAGTTCTTTCTCACCTTCCTCTCTCTTCTATCCTCCTTACGATCTCAGGTGACCATACCTTACCCTTCCAGACATTTGTGCCCTTCCAGATGTTTTTCTATGCATTTGCGTACATACATAACATGTAAACACACATATGCCATAGATGAGTCATCTGTGTTATATGTGTTCTGTAACTTGCTTTGTTCACCTTACATGCCTTAGAGCATGAATAGGTAGGTGCCTAATGTGATCGAAACTGTTGGCTGGTCCCCTATTTTTCAACTGGGCAGTAGCTACCCACCGTAAAGACTACGTTCTCCAGCATTCTTTGCAGCTCACTGTGGTCGTGTGACTGAGCTAGCCAATGTGATGTAAGCAGACGCATATGTGGTGTGTTCTAGATACTTTATCTAAGACGAAGCTGACACGAGTCTTCATCCCATCTTCTCCCCTTCCTCTGCCCTGCTGAAATGGGCATGATGGCTGGATATGACTGCTGGAGCTTCATCTTGGACCATGAGCCAGGGCCAAATCCTGGGTGTAGCAGAGAGGGGGCTAAAAGGAACCTAGGTCTCTGAGGAGTCTCCGGTGAAAGCTACCATCCCAGCCCTGACTAGCCTACCTCTGAATTTGTGTGTGTGAAAGAAACAAAATTCTATCTGTGTAAAGTCCTGCTGTTTTCTTACTGTTACTCAGGGCCAAATCTAATGTTAAGTAGTTTGTTTAACCACTATCTTACTAGGGAACTTTAAGATTGCTTCCAACATTTTGCTGTTATTAATAAGGCTGAACATATTCACATTTTTCTTTAGGATAGATTCCTTCAATTTTTTGTCAGCTCCTTTTTGTTAGATTTATTGAGGCTTACTATATGTATAGTAAAATTCATCTTAAACAGACAGTTCTAGGAGTTTTGACAGACACATAGTCGTGTAACCCCCACCATAATCAAGATACAGAACAGTTCGTTACCCTTGCCCCCAACTCTCTCCTATCCCTTTGTAGTCAATCTCTTTCACAGCCCCAGCCCCAGGAAAGTGCTGGTCAGTTTTCTGCGTCTATAATTTCGTCTATTCCAGAATACCAGATACATGGAGTTACATAGAATGCACGCATGAGAAAGATTACCTGCAAAGAACTTGAGAAAAGGAAGAAAAGAAAAACAAATTATACCCTATTTATTTTTAACAACAGAAGTGAACCATTTCTGTGGGTTATTTAGCCAAAGAATTTTGCAAAGGCAGGCTTTAAAAAAATAACAACCCCCCTTGCCTCATTATGGTGCTGTAGAAGGTACTCGTTGCTCCATTGCAATGTTGCTTATTTTAGAGGATTTCTCTTCAATTGAGTGGACCCTCAATGAAAGGACTTTGCTGAGTTGATCTACTTCCTCGACCACTGTTTTAAGAACAGTTTCTTCTTTTGAGCCTAAAATAAAGTAAATGAAAGCTTAGTGTCCATTATGAACAGGTTGAAAGGTATTTAGTTATGATGGGTCAGCTTTTTAAAAATTGTGTTTGCAAGTTTGTCATAAACGGAGATATTGATCCTGAGGTTGAAGTCTATGGTTAACAAGGCCTGGGCTGTCTTTCTTGTAGTTGCCACTGTTTCTAGAGCAGTGGGTGTTTGAAAGCATGAATGAAACATGAGTTAAAACGTAAGTGTTAGGCAAGTACAGGCCTGAAGCAAATGTCTTCTTTGAAACACCAACTTGCCCTAGTTCTGTGGTTTAAAATAAAGTAGCTCTAATATCGAAGCATTAGAACTGTAAAAATAATAGGTTCTAAATAAAAAAAATATTGGGGGATTGGTTCCCCATTTCAGTAATTTCATAATCTGATCACATCTGTTCTGCAAGAATATGAAATACAACGATTAAGAACTGTCATAATGACTTTCCCTTATCCCTTCACTCACTAGAGCTAAACTTAGAAACAATCTTATTTACCGTATATTGCCATGTATAATGCACAATTTTTACCCAAATTTTTCTGGGCAAAAAAATTTTAGGTGATAAGGATGCGCATTATACAGGGGTAGTACCTGAAATACTTTGTTCTTGTGCTTTGTAATTATTTGTTGCATAAAATTTCTTGTATCACAATAGTTCAAAAATAAATACTAAAATTCCTTTACAATCCAAAAAGCAAGTATGTAAATGTAAATAAAGACAAAACTGAATTAAAAATATTAAAACTGAAGATTTTTTCCCTGAAAGTTGGGGCCGAAAACATGGGTGCGCATTATACATGGCAGAATCGGTAGCTTACAAATAAGTGACTTATTTAATACGATTGCTGGAGTTAAAAAGAATTACAAGTAAAAAACCCTTCTGTACCTTTGACTTGAGTTTCGGACTTTATGGGCTCACGTCCTTTTGATTTGTTACACATGGACTTGTTTTTTCTGTGAAGAGAAGAGTAAATTATTGCATTTTTTTCATCAGGGAGCTCATAAAACTCTGAATTGGGAATAAAAGTTCTGAAGTTCTAGTTTCAATAAGATTCAAATGCTTATGTTTAACAGACAGTAAGCTTTTCGTGACTTCGATATAGTGACTGAAGAGATCAAATGGATGTTTATAATCAGAAATTCCCTTGTGACCAGATACTATCTCTCATCTAAGCAATACTGGGACTCTAGGACCTCTTTCTGACTTTCCAGTCAACCATCTGGCCAATGAACATGTTTAACATGCCAACTGTGCAGAAGGCACTAGACGATGCGCTGTAGAAAATACAGAGCCAAGATACAAGTGGTTTACACTGTTGAAAACAAAATGAAGCATATGAGTGTAAAAAGTTCCCTATAATGCAATGGGAAAGGTGTTGTAAGAGAAGTAAAAAATAAATCGTGTGATGAGCACTTTGAAGGGGGGAAGCCATCACTGTTGGGTTCTTACGAGAGTATGCTGTAGCGATGGCACTAGTCTTAGGAGATGCAAAAGATGCTACCAATCATGGTGTGACCATGGACAAGCATTTAGTAATAGCTGCTGATTGCCGAACACCTTTTGTGTGCAAGCCATTGTCATGGGCACTTTTCCTGCAGAGTGAGGCACTATTGTTTAAAAGAATTTCAGAGTATGATTTTGGTGTTACCATAGTTTTACCAATAAAAATATGGACTTTAAAGAGCTTAAGCAATGTGTTTAGATTCACTCAATGGTGCCATTTGGACCCAGGTTTGCAATTTTAGGGTTGTTGCCACTGGCTATCAAGCTACTGGTGCCTTTTCCAATGAAATCTTCTGTATCTTCATTGCTCACCTTTCAAGTGAAAATGTAATAGCCCACTCAGTACAGGGTGCATGTGTGGTAACTAATAAAGTAATAAAAAAATAGTGTGTTATTATGAGAAATGTGCTTCAACGCTAAATCACAGAAAGCAACTTCACCCCTCAATTGGAGTAGAGGAATTGATCAATGTTCTGTCTCTAAATGTTCTGTATATTACTATAGAGAGAAATATTTTGAATCCTTAGAAATTTTAGTTTGCTGCCTGTTTTCATTTCACTTGGGTGCAGTAATGCATTTCTGAGGACATATGGTATGATCTTTAGAGTAGGACATTCTAAGCTACACTATTAGTATACATATATACTGAGAAAACCTAGTTGATGTGAGATTAATTTTTTAATTACTAGATTAATTTTTCACAAGTTAATATTTACCTTCCTTCTCCATCTATTAATGTGCAATAAGTCTCAATTTCTTTTTCTAAAAATACTTTGATATCTAGAAGCTGTTCATACTCCAGCTTCTGGCCTGCTGTCTCTGTGCGGATCTCTTGGAGCTGTTTCTCCATCGCCCCAATTCGATCCTGGATTTGCTGGAGCTGAAGGCAGTAATAACCTTTGGCCTCTGCCAAGGAGCATTCGTAGGAATGTTTCTGAAAGGAGAACAAGGCAAGGCTTACCTGCAGAACCCCGAAATAGCACGTTCTTATTTTATACATTCTCAAGGTGGGAAGATATTGTACACAATCAAAATCAGCATTAGCAAAGTTAAAAATTGTTTTTCTTCTTTTCATTGAAACATGTTTCTTTTTAAAAATGTTGAGGTTGATGAGTCAAATAATATTTATGGACAAAATTCTTGATATTTAACATATTTATATATTTAATATATTTATATATTTAATATCTTTTATATTTCAAGTTATATATACTTTGTTATCTAGTTTGTTATATATATATGTGTTTACTTGTACATGCACACACAGACATTCAAGTCAGTGGTGATTCCTACAGACCGTGGCTGTGAGGGATTGAAGTTCTATCTCCAAGGTTTGCAGATTGCGCTTCAGTTCCATCAGCTCAGTTTTGGCCACTGTGGCTGCTCCCTCATCATCAGAAATTTGCTGTTGCAGCGAAGCGCTCTGAAGCATAATTGTCAGAAGAGTTAGTGACCACCAGCCTGGAGGGTCCACCGAACAAACAAGCCCTTGGTGTGTGATCAGCCACAAACGTACCTTCTCGTTAAACCAGGCCTCTGCCTCTTTGCGGTTCTGCTGAGCCAAGTCCTCATACTCAGCCCTCATGTTGTTCAACAGAACAGTCAGGTCCACTCCAGGGGCTGCGTTCATTTCCACGTTCACGTTCCCCCCGGCTGAACACTGCAGGACTCCCATTTCCTGGAAAAGGGATCCGTGTTGATATTCAGGATGGACTTTTGAGAATCACACTCTGCTGAGAAATGAACAGTGGCCTCGAGGAAGGAAATCCGATACTCTACAAAGCTACCCTGCAGTGTCCTTACCTCCTGGTGATTTTTTTGGAGGTATGTCAGTTCCTCACTGAGTGTTTCACGCTGTATCTCCAGGTCAGTTGTACAAAGGCTCAGCTCATCCATCACTCTGTGCAGACTATTGATGTCCGCCTCAACGCTCTGGTGCAGAGCAAGCTCATTTTCATATCTGAAAGGTAATTAAAGAGCTTGAGAATTGTAGTCGTAGGCAGGTGCAAAGGAAACCTTTTTCAGACATGTCATGTACTGAAAGTATGATGTCTGTACACACTTCTGAAGCTGATTGCAATGGCAAAGGGATGGATCCCTTTGGAACACCTACTGATCTGTGAATATTATTTTGGAGGAGTTATTTTTCAGAGTTGATTTTTGTCATGCAATGAATAAAAATATTGCTTAAAATTTATGATAGCTCTTTTTACAAGGTCAGGTTTAATTTCTTCACTGATCTAGCCTGTCTTTATAAAAACATGATGGTTTTTAAAGCAAAAGATATGTTTTTTACTACGAGTGTGGTATATCTACCTTTGTTATGATCAATGACTTTATTTTTACCTACTTCAGCCTGAAGTCGTCAGCGGTCAGTCTGGCATTGTCATTTTGTAGAACAATGCTGGCATTGCAGGTGGTCACAGACAGAATCTAAATAGGGTAGATTGTGCAAAGCGTTAAATTCCAAAAGTTAAGGAAGACTCCGTATTTAAGTGTGATTTTTATCTTCTTCACCTATCAAGCATCGATTTTAGTATAATCTTTTTCTACATTAAAGGAATCTAGATTTTCTTCTCATAATAATGTATGTCTAGAACGTAAGAGCGAAAGTGTAAATTTTATAACCATGGATACTTTTAATACTCGATTAAAAAGTATGAGTTAAATATAAAATCAACAAAGTGATTATATTTATTTTAAAACTATTTCAGTTTCATTAATTAATTCCACAGATTTTTATTATCAGGCACAGTCCCAAGCACTAAGCATATAATCATATACATTTGCAAAATACATTTAACATTTTGTTTTTTTTTTTAGGTCATAGACACCCGAAGTCCGTAGTTAAAAGTATGCCAATACAAATTTCTTACCTGCCTTTTAAGATCTTCAATGACCGAGGAGTATCTACTGTAATCGTGATCGAGACCCCGGCAGGAGCCAGGCCCGTATCTCTCATACCAGCCCTTGATTTTCTGCTCGAGGTCGGTGTTTGCTTCCTCTAGAGCTCGCACATGATCCAGGTAGGACGCCAGGCGGTCGTTGAGGTTCTGCATGGTCACTTTTTCGTTCCCAGAGAGGAGGCCATGCTCATTTCCAAGAAAACCAGTATAGACACCGCTGCCCAGCCCTCCACCTCCGCTGCAGAAGCCTCCTCCAGAGGAAACGCTCCCAAGCGGACACGAAAAGCTGCTCCCGGCTCCCGGCCCACTGCACGCGTTCCCAGCCCCGGAGCCTGTTCCCCCGCCAGGCCACCGACCAGCGCCCGCTGGAGAACAGACCCGCCTGGATCCGCTAGGAAGTCGGAAGGACATAGTGACAGCGCAGCTGAGCGACCCTTTCTCAGAAGGAGCCAAGCCAAGGTACAGCACCCGTAGTGGTTAGTTCCATTGGCCTTTTATAGGATTCAGCGAGTCATTTCAGTCTTAACTATGCCGATTTATAATAAAATGTTAGTCACACTCTAATTGTTGTTTTTCACAACTGGGTGATTTTCAATACTGTCCGGTCTGTAGGTGGGAAAGTGCCCAAGGATATCTTTGCACACGTGCCAGGTGGAGTGATACCGAATCATAGTTTCAAAGGCTAAACTTAAATATGAGTAAAAATGGACAGCTTTTTGGCCTCTGGGATAGATTCCAGTTTTTTTCCTTTGTATAACAAAACATTAGTAAGTCAAATGAGACGTGTCTACTGCTTTTGTCCTGCAGATGCTTATGGAGTATCTCTGTTATTCATGTTTTATCGAGTGTTTTCTTTCTTATTCAAATCAGATACTCTCAATATATAGTGATCTTTCGATGGTAGGAGTTTTTAAAAATTGATTAAAAAATATTGAAAACTGAAATAAAAAACGTCCTGTAGTACTTTGCCTATCAATTTAACTAAAATTAATGAATATCTGGCCTTGACAGAAAGTTATTTGTATTGAGAATTCTTGGTTGAGTTCAGGAGCAGAGTGTGCATTCAACTAACTTCCGAGTCTCCAAATTGTTCATTTCTCTACCTCAAAAATATTGTCTACTGCCTTTTAGTTTAAATTTATGTAAATAAGGCATTATGAATTATTCTGAGAAGTGATTATCAATTTTCATGTTGATGAGTTAAATATTAATAGATGGGTGTTTTCATTGTTACCTGGAACTTTGGTTCTCTAAGTAGATTAATTGTCATGGATAAGCAAACTTTTTATTGTCTCGCCTTGATGCCCGTGGGAAGTTAACCTGGCTGGTTGGGCTTCATCTCCCTATTGGGTAAATGAAAATAATAACATTGAACAGTCTTAAATTAATATTGAACTGTTCCCATAATTAGTGACTATAAAACAGTCTAAAGGGTATAAACATTTTGTAAATGTTAATTACTTAATTATTATAATGAAGTGGCCATGTCAGAAAGGTCAGGTCACTTTAACTTATAATAGTACAAATTGATTGGTTGACTGATTATAGGTTTGGGTGGTTTGAAACAGTCATTTTTTTTCTGAATGAGATTTTCAAGGTGGTGGATGTAGACTAGTTTGCAAAGCCTCCAGCATTATTGTCCCTAAAAGATATGGGATATTGGGTGGCCTGGAATGCATGGATTTTTTTTTTTACCAAAATGTTTTAAGATAATTAATATAAAACTGTAATTCAGGCCACTTGCACAAGTTTAAAACAATGCGTGCTGGGTTAAGAGATGTAGCTCATATTCAGAGACTTGTTACTGATTTTTTGTGACCTGGTCAAAATTTTAATCTTTTGCCTATGTTTCTCATGAATAAAATAATAAAAACAGAGTATGTTGTCAGAGTAATAGTTACAACTCTTGAGTTTCTTGGATAAGAGGTATTAGAAGACTGCAAAGTACTATTAAGCTAAACTACTGATCTTTAGATATTTTATAAATAATAATTAACTTGTAATCTTTTGTGAAATAAGTTAAGCATATATTATTAGAACCATTTGGGAGATGAGTAGACTCTGAAGCTAAGTGACAACGCACATCATAAAGCGTATTTATGTCAAAGCAGGGCTGGAATGTCTGATGCTTAATTCCTCAAAATATTGTCATCTATTTTTCATAAGGGCAAGTCTCTTTGAGTTTTTTAAATCATGAATTTCTTCTAAACTAATAGTTACTACCAAAGTTTAGCTTTAGTCCTTTCTGGGAGGGGGAGATAGACAACAAATTTTCTAGGTCATTTTTTTAGCCATATATTTTGTCCCTGAAAGTGGTTATTTTATTCATGATATATGTATTCTGGCAATTGTCAGGGCGAGGCCAGCAGAGTTTACCAGCTCCAAACAGACCAAGATTTGATCGTGTGAAGAGAGGGCTCTGCCCTGGTCAGATGTGAGAGAGAAAAATGACCGTTGCCCTAGAGCCACACAACTCAGCCTGTCCCAGCTTCTGCTGAGTCCAAGCTCAGAAGGGCGGGGCGCCAGGAGTTAGGAGGGCGGAGCCAGGAGATCAGGTGTGAGAAGAAGCTTCAGTGAAGGTTGATGGAAGGAGGGAGGAGTGGCCCCAGCCCCAGGGCCACACAGCTCAGTCACTGACACCCCCTAAGTCTTCCAGGACCTCTGCATCCCTGCTCAGGCAGCTGACTCTTCAGTGGGGTGTGAGCTCCCTAGGGTGGCATGACAGGGGGTCCAGGGTGTGGGGCGATTGCATCCCCCCGGGATGATGCCATAGAGAAGTGCTGCACCCAAGAAAGATGGCATCTTAGGTGTGGGAGAGGGACTCAGCACAGGGATACCAGTGGCTGTCCCTTCAGCTCCCTCTTCAGAGCCACAAACCTCCTCCTAACTTGACTCTAGTGCATGGCTCTCGCCCCACACTGGAGCCCAGGATGAGTGGCTGTGAATGAGATTTTGAGCGTTCGTTGTTTAAGAAGGTGCTGGTGTCTCTAGCAGACTCCCACGTCTCCTCGTGGGACAGAACCCCTACTGATTTTCATTGCCAGATGTTATGTGGGCATCTCTTCCCAGCTCTGTTGCTCTGGGCTGGGGAGCCTGGCCTGGGGTTGAGACTCCATGCTCCTTAGGGGAAACATGTGTAGCTGAGATATCCCTCTGGGATCTCGGCTGATGCCTGTAGGAGGGGGCCAGCCTTTTTCTCATATCTGCCCTGCCTACTAGTCTGGATGTGGCTTCTTCTATAAATCCTTGGTTATAAGACTTCTGTTCAGCTAGTGTTTGGTTGGTTTTTCAGGTTGATTTTCCATATTTTAATTGTCATTCCAGTTTTGTCCTGTGAGGAGGTGAGTGTAGCTTCTCTGCCACCATCTTGGATATCCCAATCTTTCTTTCTTAAATTTCCCTTTTAATGCTGCCTTTGCTGCATCCTGTGGGTTTTGGTATATCGAATTTTCATCTTCATTTGTCTCAATATATTTTTCTGTTTCCATTTTAATTTCTTTGACCTATTAGTTGTTCAGGTGTGTGTTGTTAAATTTCTACATTTTTTTTTTGAATCTTCCAATGTTTGTCCTATTATTGATTTCTAGTTTTATACTATTGTAGTCAAAAAAGATACTTGTTATAATATCAATCTTCTTAAATTTGTTAAGACTTGGTTTGTGGCCTAACATTGTCATATTGACCACTTGCCTTATCTAGTCTCCACATCTCCTTTTTCTCTTCTACCTTCAAATATCACCATTTATAGATTTTTCTTTATTGTTAGGATGTTTCTGACTCTGTAGTTCCTTATTTTCACTTCTACGAGCATGTTGCACTTAGGGATTAGATTTTATTAGGGATTAGATTTTATTAACTGTTTTATTCTCATTACCAGTACTTAGTATGTGCTTAATAAGTATTTATAGAAGGAAATGTAAAATTTTACAGAAATAGGAAAAAGACTCCAGCTAGTTTGCCTGCTGAATTTACTCATAACTAGTGAAGGCCATTGAATTAAACAGAATAAATTAAAAACAAAATTTAGGTACAATTCGGGTTATGTTTACAATGTAAAGATGGACCAGAACCAGTGAAGATGACTTGCAACAGGAAGAACTTTTATTGAAACACCACCATAGAGAAAGCCAAAAAGATGTTACTATTCTAAAAACAGTTTGTCCTAATTCACTGGGAGAAAAACAGAAAAATAAGAAAGCCCTTATTTAGGAATCTAGCTTCAGTTTGGTATTTTAACGTAGAGCCATTCTTTCGGGCTTCAGGAAGGCACCCTCTGTTCACTCTTCACGTTGTTGACTTTGGTGGATTTCTCTTCCACGGTGTGAACTCTGGATGAGAGAACTTTGCCACGAGGATCTATTTCTTCAACAACTGTTTTAACCACAGTGCCTTTAGATGAATCTAAAGGGACACATATGAATTGTTAGAATTTGCCAAATTCATAAAGGGAGATAATTATCTTATCATTTGAAACATACAAATATGCACTGAATGCTCAATACTGTTTTTGTTTACCTTTTATCTCATTTCCTGGTCCTTTGTATCCTTTTGATTTAACACAAGAGCTATAAAAATAGAGAGCTTTTGTTAATTATTTCACTGTGTGTTTTGCTGAGGAAACTGGAAAATATTGATTCAAGGTGGGAGCGCACTGGATTCTTAACTAACACTAGTAGGGGTTCAGGGACACATGATGTAGGTCATACATACTTTGTACTTGATTTCAAAAAATCTTCAATAACCTTAAAATAAATAGTTTTCTCAATGGAGGCAGTACTTACCCATCTTCTCCATCTATCAGGCGGCAGTAGGTCTCGATTTCCTTCTCCAGGTGGACCTTGATGTCCAGGAGCTGCTCATATTCCAGCTTCTGGCCCTCGGTCTCAGTTCTGACCTGGTGCAGCTGCTCCTCCAGGGCCCCGATCTGAGCCTGGATCTGGGCCAGCTGCGCACAGTAGTTGCCTTCCGTCTCCGTCAATGAGCACTCCAGGGAGTGTTTCTGAGGATCAGTAAGACAGTTGAGTAGAAAACGTCACAGCGTTGTTTTAGAGTAAGGCAAAGCACATAGGTATTTAAGAGAGTTATTTTTACATAATACAAATAACAGTATTTACCAAAAAGATTCTATTTGTTCGGTATTCATTTTTGCCTTTATTATATGTCATACTATTTTTATCTTTGAGAATAACACAGTTGGTGGTGAATGTCGCTCTTGTGCCCAGGAGTGTCAGCAAAGGTGAAGTGGTTTCCTTATAGGGCAGAGTGGAAGGATACCTCCTGCTCCCAATATAGCCTGTGCTTGTTGAGTCTGACACCATTTGCTGTTTCCCCCGTGAATAAAGGTCCCCCTAAACTTTGCTACCTCATTTCTAATCACGTGACAGCCTTGTCTCATGAGGAATGTAGCTCTTAAAAAAA